TAAGGTGGATTCAAATTTGTCCCCTTAGAAAAACATTCACCCCCGGTTTACAAGGTCCCCTTGGATGAAGTAACCCATGGCTGCCGACAAGGATCCTTCTGTCAGGTTGGGTCGACTACTCCTCTGATTATGTAGACCAGGGACCATGATGGTCCGGTACGACGGAACCTAGAGATCTTGATCGGGTCCATCATCTATTCCCCCCACCATCCGCTTTAAGTGTTAGATGGTGATGTTTTCATTTTAAATATCAAAATTACCAAATTCTCCAACTATTCAAAAAATCCATGCTGCTACTATATGCAAGATAACACGTATCTTTACATATCTGATTGACGACTAGCCTTAATCGAAAGTTCTTTCTTGTTATCGGGAGGGGTAATTAATTATAGGGGCTTGCGCCTATAGGAAACCAGAACTCAGATCATAAAGTCCTCGCAAAAATGAGGGCAAAATCTCTGGGTAGTGTCTTATCTACAAACCCATTTGCCTTCCAAAGTTTACCTATTTCTTTAAGAAGATCATTAATATATTTCTATTGTAAAATAAAGCTTATTTTATTAGAGTGGGCCACTTCAATCCCTGTGATGACTATGCTGATGAGTTTGGATTTGCTATGAGGCTTGGGAGAGAAGAGTACATTATGACGATGATACAATTGAAAACCCCATCAATGATAACAGTGCTGATGAGTTTTGATTTGCTATGAACTTATGCCATTACTAATTCTTTTTTGAATTAAATGTTAATTAACAAGATATTGAAAAAGATAAAATTATGAGTTGAATTATATTTTTTATTGTTTTATTATTGTTATGTTTGAATTTCAATTCAATTTCATATAATTTATTACTTATCATTTTATATCTTGTGCATTTTTGTGTTTCATATATATGACAATTTTGTAGTAATAGATCTAGCGGGGGGTTTGTGACTTTGAGCGATCAAGTCATTAATAAGTGTACTCGTTTAAGATATCTTGGATCTATTGTTCAGAGTGACGGTGAATTAGATGGGGATTTTGTTTGTAAAATTCAAGTTGGACGATTGAAGAGGAATGCTTTGGGTTTGTTGTGTGTTAGAAAAGTAACACTCAAACTTAAGGAATAATTTTATAAGATGATGGTGAGACTTGCAATGCTTTATGGCACAAACTTTTTGCAATTAAAAGAGAAGCATAATATTAAGTTAAGTGTTGTTGAGACAAGGATGCTAAAATTGATGAGTGGATTTACTCTTACAGACATTATATGAAATGAGCATATCCATGAAAAGGTTGGAGTAGCTCCAAAGACAGATAAGATTTTAGAGAGAGTCACCTTAGATGATTTGGTCATGTAAATGACACCCTTCTGATGACTGTATTAGGAGAGTATATGTATTAGATTTGATCTATGTTAAGAAAGGTAAAGGTAGACATTAAAAGATTTGGTTATAAAACATTAGAAATGACATTTCTTTATTATATTTAAATCAGAATTTGACTCTTAACAGTGCACAATGGAGAAAAAATGATTCATGTAGCCGATCCCCTGTAGTGGGATAAAGGCTTGATATTTTTGTTGTTGTTGTATATATGATAATTTATTTTTTATGTTCTGTTTTAACATATTATTTAGTCATTATACAAAAAAGTAATCATTTTGACTTTGCACAATTTTCTAAGTTTGAGGCTTATGCCTCAAAACACCTTGAGGATTATGCCTCGCCTCACGAACAAAAAACACATCAATACCCATTTGCACAATTTTAAACATTGCTCAAAGATTTTGTCACCTTATGACTTCTTTTTGTGTTTATAGTACCAAAACATGTCTGGGCACAAGAATATGGCTTATAGCCACAAGAACATGGATTTATATTCACCACTAGAATATGACTTATAGGCACTAGAATATTTTCTGACACAGACAAAATCTCAGGCTTTTGTCCCCTAACTGATAGGTTTCGTATTTTGATATAAAACTTGCCACATCCTTCTGCAATCAAGGCCACCAAATATAGCTTTTAGATCACTATACATTTTGCTATTTCATAAGTAAATAGTGAGCCTCTTGTAGAATCTCTCGTCTCATATCTTCAAAAGTAGGAACTCACAGTTTTTTCTTATAGCATATAATATTAGAATCAGATAATTGTAGTTTAGATTTCTTACCAGATCTGATCTAATCAATCAACTTCGAATACTTTGTATCTGACTTCTGAGATTCTTGAATCATTTCTTGCAAAGTAGGTTAAATAATCATCTCAACTAATATACCAAAATTCCAATTAGTAGAAGAAATCACCTTCAACTGTAATCTTTTCATATCTCGTATCATAGACTCATCAGAAGTAAGCTAAATAAATGATAATCTAGAAGATTTTCTACTTAGAAAAAAATTTTCATCTATTAAACTACAGGGCTGCTAAAATAAATAATGACACTTTTATATATCATCAAAAGATTTCATTTTAATCATAATAAATATTCCTGCCAAAACTTTTATCTTATAACAAAACTATACATCAAAAGATAGCGTATATCAAAATATGACTTTTATTTGGGTTCTGCATTGTCCATTCATTTACATGAAAGTACATTCAACATAATATGATATGAGCTAAAACTCAACAAGATAAATAACTTAAAGATAGAATGCAATTATTATAATTTTTTTTATACTCATATATTAGTCTAATATGTTATCCTAAAATTCTTACATATGAAATATCTGAATTAATATTTGATTTATTTGTAAGAAAAATATCTAATTGGAAACAAAACCTTGGGTAAAATATTAGAGTTTTAGGCTTTAACAATATTTTATAAAAAGTATGTACCAATATGATTCTGTTCGCTAATCATCTATGAAATTCTTTTGTTTGATTACATATATCATATATAATTCTTCTTTCAACTTTAGAACATATCATGTAGGTGAAAGTAGTTTCTTGGCTACCTTGAGCTTGAAGGCTCTTTATTGAGGACCCGTTTGGCTTTATACCGGCCAGCTTTTGTTGCCCTATTTATATGGAATATATATATAATTTTTAACTTTAACTTTATATATGTTCACTTTTAAAATGAGACAAATTAAATGTTTAATACTGGATGCTTAAACTTTCATATGAATGGCATATAATAATGAAATTAAACCATATAATGTTTCCCTTTATACTTTGGTATAAAATACAGTTGACGAAATTTAATTTGTAATCAAAATTCTTTCTAAAATTAAAATTTCAATAAAATTGCTTTCTCATATTTAAATTGCATATCTTACCTTGTTGACAACGATGATGATCAACCCTTGAATTGTCTATCTCGTTACTGTCACCTGTAAACTTTTTTTTTTTCATTTATAGTCAATCTAAGTAAAAGATTAGCACGGTAAAATAGAATCCCAACTTCTTACACAATTCAAAACTAATTTAACATATATATATATGACTCTCATCATTAAAAAATAAATGAAAAACCAAATAAAAGTTATACACTATTTGAGGGAATTTTCCCTTTTCTTGGATAGCCCTCTAGCTTGGATTAATTAAAATAATAATTGCATATTTCATGCAATTAGTTATTTTTTTATAATTTAGGGCACTTTCTCTATTAATTTAAAAATTTAAATTCCATTTGAGTTTAAATTTTCAAATTGTCTTATAACAATAAAACTTACATTGTCTCACAAAAATTAAATTACACCAGTATAAAATGCTCAAAATCTAAATAATATTCTAATACAAAGTCTAATCATGCTCCTCATGATGGATCCGTTGCTCCTCTTGCTTTGTCTCTTTTTGATTGGTTCATTAGCTCCCTGTGCTGCATCACATTCCTTTCCAAACTCGACCCATCCAGAAAAATCATGAAGCTACTCAAGGAGGAACCAACTAGGAGTTGCTTGTTCACTCGAGTAAAAAGGAAACAAAGGAAATTACACCTCTCAAGCTGACCAAGAATCAAAATATAATCTTGAAATCCTTAACAACACCAGTAAGTTTTCCAAGCACATGTCTTCCAGACGACAGGGAATGTCCTAATAATTTTCAACTTCCTATCTCTTTAAGAAAATATCTTCAATTTCTCACTCAACACCTAGTAAGAAACTTTGCATCTTATGAAGTGCATTTAAAAAGTTTCATTCGTCACAAGCCTCATTAGTATTCAGATTCTTCAAACAATTTAAGATGTCCTCAGCCAACCTCTGTGAAAATGTATTATTTAGAAAGAAATCCATGTGTTGGCATGAAACATAACATGGGAAATCACAATCTAGCATTTACTGTTGGCTACAGATGGATCTTATTTTCTAAAGATAATTTAAAAGAATGGTGGACATATCCAAAGCTTAGCTTGTTGCCAAAATATTCCTTTAATCTTATGGGGTAGACTATAAAGGAGTATTTGCACTTGTTGCCAAATTTAATTCAATTCATTTATTGTTATCCTAGCAACAAGGTGTGATTGGCCACTTTACCAACTTGATATAAAAAAAGCATTTATAAGTAGTCATTTGGAAGAAGTTTACACGAACATTCCCTACAGTTTGGAAGCACAGGGCAACACCAGCAAGTTATCTAAACTTAAAAAATCCATATGTAACCTTAAATGTCTCTATGTCCCGAGTTTAAAAGATTTACATATGCTATAAAGAAGAATGGATTCTCGCAATGCCAATCCGACCACACTATATTTGTAAAAAGCTTACCAAAAGGGTAAATTGTTGTTCTCATTGTATATTTGAATGTTATCGTTTTATGAAAATACCATTCGTTGGTATGGTTTCTGATGAACATATATTAAGTCATAGTTTCCTTTTTTTATTTATTATGCAATTGCTTTTGTTCATTCTCTAACTTTTTTTGTGTGTGTGGAAATGATAGTCCAACACTTTGTTTTTTTGCACAGTATTATTTATGATGGTATTATGACTACTTAACCTAGAACTTGTTCATATTTCTTTTGTCTTTTCTTTCTGTGCTAATGTTAATGACTACTTTGGGATAATTTTCAGGGATTTGTGGAAACTCGTTGTTCTGTTGTGTAAAATTGCTGCTTGTTTAGGTGAGGCAAGATATGTGGATTATTATGTTCGTGACTTCCCATTAGTTTTATCTGATATTTATTTCTTCCAAAGGACTGATACCCTAAGAACACCACCAAGCCTCTTCAAGTGGCTTGAAACTAGTCTACGGAGGGGATGCCAATTTGCTGATAAAAATGACCTTCCATCTCTTATTTTTAAAGGCAATAGTAATACCTTATGCTGGGCAAGAAAAGTTGTATGTTTCTATAGTTTATTGTTAGGTGCTGAGAGGAATGGGAAGAAACTCTCGACTGGGGTATATTGTGACATTGCTAAGGGAACTGCCCAAACACCGGAGGAACTTACTGTCTTGGCTATGGTTGCTGAAAGATTTGGACATCCACAGCTTGATTTACTGCCTGTTGGTGTTTCTCTTCCTCTTCATCATGTGAGTTTACTCGTCTTATTACTTTTTCATTCTAAGGCCCATTTGTGGCTTCTAATTTTGATTTTTGCGTATTTGTTTTAGCTGTGACCTCCCATTTTAGTCCATGCATATGGGCCTTTGTCTGTGTAGACAACTGATACTTACCCATCAGGATTATATTATAATTTTTTTGCATTACTTTTTTATATGCAGAACAGAAAATTGTTGCTTTTTCTCTTGTCATCTCATTGCTAGTTAATTGATATTTGAATATCTTGCATTTAAGGCATTGGATAAGTGTAGAGAATCTCCTCCTTCAGATTGGCCTGCAGCAGCCTATGTTCTCGTCTGTCGTGAGGATCTAGCAATGGCATCTTTTAGGCCTTTGAACAAAGAAGAGCACGGACAAAACAATGTAAATTTAGCATCTTTTTCACCAGCCTACAGGCTTCATTTGCGGCCTGTGACAGTTCCTTCATCTGTTTCTGAGATTACAAGAGTGGGTAGTACTAAAATAGAGGATGCAGATGCCCCTAAACCTGTGGAAGATGGCATGGAGCACATTTTCAACTCAAGCACACAGTTACGTTTTGGTCGTGATCTTCGTTTGAATGAGGTAAGTATTGAAGGTGGCAGTCCATTTTTTTTTAATACAAATTCCTGAATATGCTATGGTGAGTACTGTTTTTTTTTATACTTCTATATACGATGCCATGACAATTTACATTTAATGAATACTTATTTTTCTCTTTTATATTCAAGTTTCTAGTATTGAAACCGATGACCATATTGTTCTCCATAATTTACTTAAATTGATTTATATTCTTTATGTTTCAAACATGAAAATTAGATCCTTGCATTTTGTATGAAAAAAATAGTCCATTCCAATGTTTTCAAAGATTGCATACATAATTTTTTTCTTTTTTCTTCAAAGTGCAAAACTAAGTGTACTTTTACTAACTAGAATTTCCATAACTTATAAATCATATGTACATATATTTTGTACATATAATAATTATTTAATTTGCCAAATTTAAATGACAACATATGATAATTTAAATGACAACATATCTCGGTTACCCCTTTCCCTTCCTTTTCTTTCTCCCCCTCTTTCTAGCCGAGACCTCTCTTCTCTCTCTCCCTCTCACTCATACCGTCGGCTATACCCCAAGCCAATCCACCCCACCGTTGGCTGAGCCCCTTTTCCCCACCTTGACGCTATCCAATTTCCCCTCCTTGCTGCCGGCCAACCACCCAATCCCCTTGATTCCAATTTCAAATTAGCCCATTATTATTTTCCTAATTTAATTCAAGGTATTTTGGAAAAACCTAAAATTTGAGTTTCAAATTTCAAATTAATTTGAAATTCAAATCAAATTGTCCCCATATTTGAATTAATTTAGAAAGCTCTCTCCATTAATTTAATTTGAATTTTAAATTTTGAAAGGCTCTTAAATTCTTTCCTAATTTAATGTTCCAATTATTAAGTTAATCAATTCACCTCAATCAAGCCCCCATCATTGGGCCACCCCTCTCCCCCCCTCTCTCTCTCCACTTATAGCCTATTCCTAATTGAAACCCAATCAATTCCCCCTTCTAAGAACCGGCTGCCCCTCCCTCCCTCTCTTTTGGGAATTCAAATTTTGAATTTCCTTCTCTCTCTCCTCTCATTAACTCCACCAATTAATTACCCAGCTCTGGAATAATTGTTGGATTTAATTTTCAAATTCTCAAAGCCTCTATGGAACCCCTCCTCTCCTCTTTCTTCATACAAGCCGCCGACCACCCTAGACCCCTCCCAAAATTCGAGGAACTTTCATTCTTCATGGATGGATGACTCCAAGCACGATCTTGGATTCATATTCGACCCTGAAGGATGAGTGGATGCTCATTGGTCTCCCTTCTTCGACATCGATTTTGAGATCGACCACTCTGTCGAAGACTACATCGATCAGATCTTCTTCTCCTTGACAACCGCCATCGACGAGCATCAACTTTCCGTTCAATGGCAAATCTTCCTACATCCACCAACTAACTTCTCTCCGAATAACTTTTCATTGAGCAATACTGTAAGTTTCTACTGTGTTGTAGTGGTATCATTAATATTGTATAAATTATTCTTCTGCTGAAAATACTCGAGAGTATGAGGGAGAGAAACTCAAGGCGATCATTTTAATTGTTAACCGGTGGATTCTTGTGATTGACAAATTAAACATTTAATAATTTTCGTTCTTATTTTAATTTCTCCATACTCTAAATTGTAATTCCATGCTATTATAAGTTATTTAACAGAGAAATCCTAGAATCTAATCTGGTGAAACATTAAATTTTAGGGGTTTTTATATACCTAACACTAAAAACACTTTTATTTACACATTTCACACACAAACTTGACTTTTTACTGTTATACCATCTAAAAGCTCTAATACTCATCAAATAGAACACTTCGTTTGTTCCGTCAAAACCAATTCGCGAAAAAAGGGTTTCTCGCACTGGAAACAAGTCTCGGGGACGGCAAGAAAAGCAGAGCATCCACTATTACTGTATACAAGCTCTAAAAAATAATATTTGCTATGCTCGGATAGCGGAACTGGAAGCCGATAGATCATCTTTTACAACGATTTTGAGTCATAGTATCCTCATAACCAGGCTCATCAAGTTCAGGTTATTTATGACACCTTGTTCTTTGACAAGGATCACAATATAAATTATTTATAAAAGAAGAGATTATTGTGGTATTTCCTTTAGCAGAATCTTTTAAGAATACCCATAGAGATTGAAAGAAGTCAAGCTTTTAAACGTCATTAGAACCTTCAAAGGGTGAATACCTATATGGTGTAAACTGATTAAAAATAGAAAATCAAATAGTTCAAACTAAACACAGAACATACCTTAGCGATGTTGCGAAAGGGTGAACAATAGCAGCATGGGATTCGTGAAACAGAGAAGAGTCGTAGTGTGGTAGTCGTGAAACGGAGAAGAGGAGCAGTTCGGTTGGGACCTGGAGAAGATGACTGTGCGAGAGATGGAGCAGCTCCAGTATCAACGAAAAAGAGAGGAGATTCCCGCGGTCTTTCGGCTCGGCTTTGACGGGAGGGAACGGAGTGTTTTATTTTTTTTATTAGGTTAAAGGTTTTGAGGTGGTATATTAGTAAATAGGTAACTTTAGGTGTTTAATAGGTAAATATTGTAGTTTTAAGTGTTAGACATGTAAAAACCCCTAAATTTTAACTAGCAAGCTTAATAACTTTTTATATTTCCACGTAATTCCTGCAATTATTTTATGTTTCACATCAATTTGACATTTAAAAAAAAATATTTGTATGAATTAATAATTAATCATTTATATTGAACAATTCATTTATTTTGTCATTTCTATTCCAGCATTTGAATTTAATTGAAAATTTATTTTGAGAGAGAGAGAGAGAGACTCTTGTTAAAATTTTAATCTTTGGCCCTTTATAATACATTTTTGAGAATTGAGATGATGATGTTGAAAGAATATGGGCTTCGTGGCTGTAGATTTTTTGATAGAAGTGGTTCTTGCGGTTTATTGAAAAAAAACATGCTACTGGAGAAAGTCATGACCGTAGCAGTTTGTGGCAAAGCGATCTGAACAATCATGGCTATGAGCGACTGATCATGAAAGGAGTTGCAGCAAGATGGCTTAGGATAGAGAAGGAACAATGTTTGGAAAGGCTGCAAATGATATTAGAGAAGGAAAAACAATGGTGAAGATTGCTAGTTACAGCTTCTGGAAAGATGCAAAAATGATGAAGAAAGAAAAGGTACCAATAGCAATGAAGAATACACTTAGAGCACGTCCAATGACTAAGGCTACGGTAGATGCATGCACACAGATACACGCTTTAGTTCTCTGATACGATGTAGAGAAAACAGTGCAGGAATGAATTCGTTTTATTCATTAATGTAATTGATCAAGACAATGTATTTACTGATCTTGGAGGGAGATAAGAAAACCAATCTTCATTAAAGCAAGAAAATATTTACAGCTATTTTGAGCGAAGTTGTGATTTTCTGTAATTTTTATTCGATAACCTTGATGTTCATTTTGTTTCAATTGAGGGATCTCTTTAATGATTGTAAAAGCGTCGTCCTTTGATTTTCATTTTTCAATAAAGCATGCCACTTTATCCATTTTGTTTAAATTTTAAAATGCCTCAAACTGATGATCTTGCTGACAAGTCTTGCTTAACTTGCGCAAATTTTTTCTCCTGATTGTTAATGTCTTTATGGCAATGGTCTCTATGAATCGATGAATGCAGATAGAAGATTTCCAAGTCATGTAAACTTCTGTTGTATTTAACCTACTAAAATATATTGGAATTGAATGTTTCTCTGACATAGGTTAGACGCTTATTATGTTCTGCAAGACCTGTGGCTATTCAAACACCTGCCAATCCTACTGCCACTGATCAGGACTTCCAGCAGGTTGATTTACGTTTTTTAGTTTCCATTATGTCCACTTGCTACTTCTTCTGTCATTTTCCAATGTTATTGGCAACTTTTCTGTGTTATATGCTTGTTCTGCTATTGACGTTTTTTTTGTGACATGGGCATACCTTTGAGCTATGATAAATGGTTATGGAAATTGCGTACCTGCATAAGCATGTGCATAAAAGAAAAACTTACAAGAGATGGTTCCTCCATGACCAAAAAGAACAAAGTTTCTTTTTATGGAGACATTATCATGGGATGTTTCACATAGAAAATTTTAATCTTCATATTATTGTATGCTACATGGTATATGTCGGTTTGCTTAACCTTTTCCTACACATATCTCCAACTTTTGCTACACACATCTCAGCTATCATAAATTGCAAATAATTCTATTGATCTTCAAAAGCTTGAAATATCAAATGTCCTTATCTGAGCAAGCCGTCAATAATTTACATATGAAGTTCTAAATGAAAATAAATCAGTTCATACAAATTCATCAATACATCAATTAAAATATGTAAAGAAACTTATTGAAAATTTATGTAGAATGGTTTAAATTTTTTGGGGTGGAGTGATTTTCAAACCCACACCATAAACCTACCTTTGCGTATCGATTTAGCTAATCTTTTAAAAAATAATGAAAATTATATTTAAGCCAACAGCAAAAGAATTTGGCTTTTAACATGAAGAAACAATTGATTCAAGTTTGATGTGCAATGTGACTCAATTTGAACAAGACCAACCTAAAATTGACCATTTAAAAATGATAAAAAACTCAGATCCATTCATAACTTGAATGTATTTGCATATGGCCTATTAGCAAAATGCATTCTGATCATAATAGAGAGAACGAGAAATGAAATAGCTTTCCTGCCTCAGGACCACCCTCCTAGTTGAGCATAAAACGTGACTTAGATGGGTGCAAATCAGTTGATGGGTCTACCTCGAATAGATATTCTTGAGTTCTATCCATAAGAATAGAGTGAGTGGTAAACTTGATCACCTAAATGCCCCAATCAAACACATCATAACCCAAGCATAGGTAGATTTATTAAGATAACATAATTCGATCGTACTGAAGCATTTTATAGTATTGTTTATCTTGTTTCTGGCAGCATCAATTATGGAATCTTGCACAAAGAACAACTGCTCTACCATTTGGCCGTGGGGCATTTACTTTAGCCACTACTTACACTCTTTTAACCGAGGTGTGTAAACTTCTATGGGTTTACTGATACTATTCTGTAGTTTCAATTTTTCCGTACTACTGTTTATTTCATCTATATTTTTCCTATTGTGCTTTTGATGCGAAATAAAAGTTTATGTTCGATTATATATTTTACTTAGGCACTATTTGTTCCAAAGCTTATATTGGCTGGTCGATTGCCTGCGCAACAGAATGCAACAGTGAGTGCTTTTTCAAATGCTATAAATTTGTACAGACATTGTATTTTTTGCCGTAGATCTGTAGCTTTTCAATTATTTATCTAAGTTTTCTTTATTTAAGTTGCAATTGAGGGCATGTTGGAGCCTAATCTTGTAATTTTTACTGATTTCCTGTTGGAAGAGTTAATAATCTCCTAACCAACTTAATTGCGCTTTCAAATGCACCAATTTAATGCTATGTTCTCTGGCTCTACAGTTATTCTATGCACTTGAAAAATTTGAAAACCACTCTGCCAGAGAGTAAGTCTTAATTGTTTTGTGCATATTACTTGTTTTCTATTAAATATTTTTTTATATGATGGCCAAACACAAGGAAAGATTTTTCTTGCGTTGTTTGCAATTTTTTCCCAGCCCATCTAATAAAATAAAAACTATTTTTTAGATAAAAAAATACATAAAGAATTAACAAACTCTCATGGATAGCCTCATAGCTCAGGGTGCAGATGTATCATGCATTGTCCCATATTGTGTTGCAAGAGAATTGATGGCTGTACGATACTCGAGCTTTTACCGTGTTGAAAAGAACTGATTTCTCTGATGAATATTTCTTTATCTTTTTCAACGAAATTTTTGGTTTCATTTTCATGAACCGATCAGGTTAATTTGGACCCAAATTTAAGGAGCATTTCGGAACTTAAATCTTGGCCAGAGTTTCACAATGGGGTTGCTGCTGGACTGAAACTAGCACCCTTTCAGGTTCTTCTATCATTGTTAATTTTCTTTTTTTATAGTATTACAGTTTTATTTAGGTTTAGAATCTTTTGAAATTTCTATTGGCATCTTGCGTAGTATATCTTTTTTGTTTTATTATTATATGCACTCGCAGCCCTCGCATGCCTTTGTAATGTTTAATAATTACCTTCATGCATGTAATTAAATATAATTTTCGTCAAATCTTGTAACATTTATTATTGGTACTGTTTCTTTTGTTTTCTACAGGGGAAAATGTCCCGAACATGGATTCTATACAACAAACCTCAGGAACCAAATTTCTCTCATGCTGGATTACTTTTAGCTTTAGGCTTGCATGAGCATTTACGTGTTCTTATGATTAGTGATGTCTATCGATATCTTTCGCAGGTATGCCTCTCTATTTTTATTAAATTATTAAAACTTGCTACCTTGCAGAAAAATATATATTTTTTGATGCATTTATATGTTTGTGGGCCACCTAGAAATAGAAAATTTGTTAGTAAGATGGACATTTTGTGTTCCTGATCAATTGAGTTGACATTATACATTTTTAATGCATTTATATGGTACCGAGCGGTACCGAGTTCCGGTACCGAGCGGTACTGATTTCCGGTACCGAGCCTACGATGAAGAAAATGAAGAAATCGAACCTTCATTGCTCGCGTCGCCTTCACTGTTTGCGTCGTCGAGTCGCTCCGTCGATGAAGGATGATCCTGTCGGCTTTAATGCTCGCGTCGTCGAGCCTCTTCGTCGACGAGGGATGATCCTGTTCTCTTCTATGCTCGCGTCGTCGAGCCGCTCCTTCGACTATAAGGAAGAAGACGAACGCCTGTGCGGAAACGAAAAATCTAGCTTGCTGAAATGTTTATGCTGCCTAAATGAATAGGGATATCGACCGGATAGCCAAAATGAATAGGGCAAATTGCAGCTCCGTTTTTTTTTTTCGTTTTTGTAATAGGTCATGCGTATCCGATACGTGTGTCCGGTCAAATTTAAATAACATTTTAATTGGATATGGCTTCCGTGCCGTATCGGAGGTGTATCCATGTCCGACAGTGTCCAATGCAGCATGCCTCGTAAATAAGAGTATCCGTGCTACATAGTGTATATTATAAAATCATCAAGTTAATTATAGAGCTGTTGACTTGTAATGACAAAAAAAAAAAAAAAAAAAAATCAAATCGTCATACCTGCTTGCACGTCGTCGCCATACCTTACACGTTCGATGTCATTTCTCCCACGATGCTCTGCTACGGGACGACGCCTTGCCTCGTTGTTAAATATCGCGATTTTCTCCATGGACAGGGCTCCCTCTCGTGCATTCCTTTGGCTCCTGTGTTGTTTCCTGACTTCGATCCTTCGACGACACCTTTTGTAGGATCAGAAGCTACGACTTATTGATCGGAAGCAAGGGAGCTCGCTCGCTGTGAGGGCAACTCTCTCTGATCTCTCATGCCGCTTCTCCGGCTCCTTTGTTGTCGTTCGACTTTGCTCCTCCAGCGACCTTCCCATCCAGTCGAATCGGAAGTTCAACATCTTGATTGGAAGCAACCACGGGAGCTCACTTTGAAGTTAACTTTCTCCCTTGCGCGCTTCTTTGGCGTTGCTCCCCCGACGACTTTCCTTCCTGCGGGATCGGGAGTCATGACATTTTGAGCCGAAGCAGTCACGGGGACTCGCCGGTTTTGAAGTAACTTTCTCCCTTTCGCGAGGCTTCTTCACCTCCTTCACTGTTGTCCGACTCCGGCTCCTTCGTGTTGTGCGATTTTGCTCCAACAATAACTTCCCCTTCCTATTGTAATGGAAGTTACACATTTTGATTGGAAGCATACGAGAGCCCGCTCGCTGAAAGGGTAACTTTTTACCTTTCACGCACTTCTTCGGCCTAATCCTGTAAAGCCACCGGAATGAAAGAGGAAAACAGAGGATTTTTGCTTAAAACCTCTCGAATCCCGCATAAATCTTCTGTTTTAATAGGATTCAACGTAAATCCGATTCAAATCCTGTATAAATTTTATGTTAATCCTGCGACCCGACAGTTCTTTTTATTTGTTTGATTATTGATTATAATTATGCTGTTATAATTATTACTGATTATTAATAATTATAATTATTGTTAATTATAATTAATTATAATTATTGATTATTATAAGTTATAATTATTAAAAAAAATAGAAAAAAAGAGAATGACACCCTCCTTCTGCCTCGATCCACACGCCAACACCACCGGCGGCCCTTTGCTAAGGTATAAAGTTCTGAACTTGGGAGAACCTGCCCTTGGTGCTTGCGATGGGGCGAATAACCACCCTTGCGCGCTTTTCATAGCATGGTGGGAGGAAGTTCGCTCCGGTGCTTGTGGCAAGGCGGGTAATCACCCTAAAGTCCTTTTTCGGTGTTCGTGGCGCGTCAAGGGACCATCAATGCACGTTATTTTTAACGTGCTGGGAGGGAATTTGGTGCGGTGCTTACAACGAAGCAGGCAATCCCTGTGCGCGCTTTTCTTAGCACAGCAGGGCAATAAAGAACTATTTTTTTCAAAAAAATGCTTTTAAAGATCTATGCACGCCTTTCTTGGCGTGGTGGATGACAAAAACTATGGCCACAGTGTCTCACAACACCAACCGTGCACTTCTTTCTTGACGTGGCGGGTAGGTTGCTTCTCGTAGTTTTCCCCTAAACGGGGGAGACGCCGGAAGGTTGCATAAATTCCGATTGAAGACACAGTGGACTTGAGCAAAATTTGGACTGACATTGACAAAATTTGGACAAACCGTGGACTTGATTGGGACAATGAATTGAACATAAAATTGAGCCTAAATCAAACATAAATGAACTTAAATGAATTGAATCCAAAACTTGAACAAAAAGTGAACTTGGACTTAAATGAACTCAAGCTTAATTGAATTTAAATCCAAGCAAATGATAATAAACCGCAGGTGACTGTGATTGATTTGGACTTTAACTTGATTAGAATCAAGCCCAATTGAACAAGTGGAATGACGCATTAGTTCAATGCCACTTCGCCACCCACTAATGTGCCAAATCTTTGTAAGTGATGATGAGCAAATTCTTTATATATTCTACTCATAAGTAATGAGCAACATGAATGTTTGGGAAATGTGGTAATGCACTTATAAGCGACAATTCAAAGCTACAAAGGACTTGTCATGTTCATTGCAGCTCATTTACGAGTGAGAAAAGAACCCAACATACAACGAGCCAACAATGAAGGTGTGTTCGAAGAGGTCGAAGCAAATGCAGCCTTTGTATAATCAATATCATTTGGTTATAATTGAATACCCCGCCCTCCCACAAGTAAAGATGTACAACGAATGCGATGATTTGTTGGTTGATATGCGTGAAGGAGGAATATAAAAAATGCAAGAAGATCTATTGTAGATATGAATACTTGTTAGCGGTGAAGGAAAATTTGCCACAATCGCAACGGGCTTGCGATTGCAATCATCGATCCACCTGAGATTGGTGAAAGGTGGACATGATACAGGTGTAATAGACTCCTATGACAATCCCTATAAGGTCAAATGAACTATACTGGCAAACAACAATAACAAGTTGCGGAGTTCATATGCGACTTCTATATGTGCTAATATGATCTTCAATACAAACAAATGCCTATAGATTGAGATGGCAATACTGTCAATTGATAGTAGAAGATCCGTCCTTGCAAGCAAGTACGCCAAGCCACCTAAGATTGGTGAAAAGGTGGATATGACACATGAATAATGGCTCTCCTACGAACATTTCCAAGAGGTTGTAGTTGATATAACGGGTCCCTGTAAATGAACATGAGCTACTTGTGGATAACAACAGTGAGTATATCGTAAGTATAACGAATCCCTGTGGACAGAAGTATAGATATCACCTATGACAATAGTGATTAAGATGCTGCAAAGTATGTCGGGTACGAGGACAACTCGATATACGAAAAAGGACACCTCTTGGCATAATGGAAGAGATGTTTAAGCAAATTTGAACTAAACTTCATGGTGTTTCAAAATTTCTTCTTGGTCCTGTACTCAGTAAGAAAATAGTTCCTACATCCACACATTGAAAATAACAAGTCTACTACACTAATGATCCTGAAAGGAGTTCTTTTCAAATCATCTGTCACTGATTTCAAAGTCCAGAAGAATTTCTCGGTGAATGAGAAAAGAAAGTGTCCATCAAAACAATGAAATATCTCATGAGATTCAGGTGACAACGCTACGCTATCGAATCCACAATATCTATACAAGCAGATGAAATGCGTCTACAATCTACAACGCCACGTCATCGGATCTGCAACACTTATACAAGCAGACAGAAGGTGTTTACAATCTAAAACGCCACGCCACCGGATCCGTAGCACTCGTATTAGCAGACAGAAGGCGTGTATGAGCTCTCAAATGAAATGTTGTGTATTCAAATGACAATTACCTGCACAACTAAAATATTTCAAAGTACCATTACACGTGCTCCATAGTTTGTATACACATAGGTACACAAGAGATAAATGCAATCGCAAAACCCGCATGGATCCCGACGAGCGTGTTATCGGTACACACGTGACGTCTAGGGATGCCGCGCGGGTTAATAAGGAGTCGATAGGGTTCGAACCTTCAAAAAAATACACGGTTGTGGTGACCAGTGTATTTGTTTTAATATATTCATATTAGGCTTTCAAGGCCTATAACAATATGAATTCACTAATAAAGGCACAAAGCCTATGAAACCCGATCCTCTTATACGGGTCGATCGGAGTCAACAAGGTTCAACAAACAATTATAAAATGCTCTCAAACACCTGCATGGGCCCCGACGAGTGTGTTATTGGTATACACGTGACGTTTAGGGATGTTACGGGGGTCAATAAGTTAATTCAAGTTCGAACCCATTCCTTTTACGCTGGTCAATAAGAGTCGACAGGGTTTGAACCTTCAAACAAATTTCCAGTTGTGGCGACCGGTGTGTTTCTTTTAATACATTCATATTAGGCCTTCAAGGCCTATAATAAAAAAAAAAATTCATTAACACAACCATAAAGCCTATGAAACCCGATCCTTTGTCTACAGCTCGATATAGTCGACAAGGTTCATTCATAAAATACAAATATTTTTAAATGGAAATGCCCCCAAACACTCCAATATGACCGTGTTGAATGTTTATCTCAATCGAAGGGGTTCATAAATATTTTTAAATGCCACTCAAATGTGCATCAAAATCCAGAACTCCTAAAATTCCAAAATCCCAAAACCCAAAATATTTAAAACTGAAATAAATCCATCAACACTTAAAACAAAATTCATCCATCCTCCGCAACAGTTTGCCGAGGTGGACAAATTAAAATTTATTTCAGCTCACATAGAGCTAATACCTAATCGAAATTA